AGAAGGACAACAATTACATGAAATCAAGAATTACAGGCAAGGGAAAGTAGGCAAAGAATAATGGTCACAGGTTAGAAGCAATGCATGCTGAGGGTCGCAGAGGGCGGGTGCTTCTGGGCACCTCTGGGACCAGATTACAGATAATAGGGGCTAGGGGTTGCAAAGTATGGGTGCCTCCAGGACTAGACTGCTTCAGCCACAGGTTGTAAATCTTTAATGATAGGCAGCTCTCAGGAAAGGAGGATGGACTGCGATGGATAGCTCCCATGTCCCAGGGCATACAACTCACAGCCAGATTAGAATATGCTTTCTTTAATCAGAACAGTCACAATTGATTAAATCATTTGCCATTGGTGATTAGTTCATCCCCAGCCCCTCTCCCCTCAGGGGACGGGGCTCAAAGTTCCAAACCTCTAACCAGAGGATCCCTCTTCAGGCAACTAGCCCTATCCTGCAGCTACCTAGGGGCCTTCAGCCACCAGTCCCTCATTAACATGAAAAAGTCACTGCATTCTGGAGACCAAGGGTCTCCGAAGCCCTTGTGTCAGGAACTGGGGACTAAGACCAACTATTATAGCAAAAGAGGCTCCTTGCAGTCCCCCTCCTCCATTCCACAGAAAAATGGCAAGTATTTAGGCACTCTGTGAAAGAAGCAAGAGACCCAACAGCTATTTCCTTATTGCAGGAGCTCACATTGTTTTGAAAGGTCCTGGCTGATTTAAAAACACCCATAAACAAGCCTTTTCCCATAAGAAATAAGGGGAACAGCATGGGGGGCAGGTAGGATTCAGTAACACTGCAGGAGACTGGGCCATTGAGAGCATCCCGGCCTCTAGACAGTCCTGACTTTCCCCATTTCCCGCCCTTCCTCTGCCTTCATGTGAGCCATCAGGACTTAGAACCCGTGGTGCAACCACGCAGCTCGCTGGGCACGGTATGGCTAAAAACACAAATGTACAAAAGAAAAGCAAACAGCACTGGATGCTTTAGGGAGTTAATTGACAGTCCTAACATTCACTATTTCCTAACTTCCGCTAACAGATCTTTGGTTGAGAAACATCAGCCTGAAAACCTCCCTCTTAAAGAAAGAAGAATGCTTGTCTATTCTCAGCAGCCACTATTTTCCTCACTTCCCGCCCCCCCCCCCCCCCCCCCCCCCAA